GCGGGGCCGGGGGCCGCGGCCGGGGCCGGCGCCGGGCAGCCCCGCGGGGCGGGCGGTGGGCGAGGGCTCGCCCGGGGGCGGTGGCCGCCGCGTCTTCAGCCCCGCCGGGGAGTTCCGCGAGTTCTCCCGGCGGCAGCTCCGCGACATGGAACGGCTCTTCCGACAGTGAGTGTGGGGCACAGGGAGCGGGGGGTCCCCGGATGGCAGCGCCGGGAGGGACGGGGGACACCGGGCATCCGGCACCCAGGACATCCCGGTTCCTGCATCCCGGCTTCTAGCAGGGCGGGTGTCCCAGCGCCTCCCGCCCCGTGCTTGCGGGCGGGACCCCCCTATTCCTGGTGAGAATGACCCCCATGCACCTCAGCCTCTTGCGGGAGGGATCTCCCGTTTCTTGTCGGAGACTCCCCCGCCCCAGCTCTGTGCAGCAGGGATGCAAGGCACATCCAGTTCCTTGCAGGAGGGATGCCTCTCCTGCCCCTCTCAGGAGGGATGCCAGGGACACCCCTGTCCTCCCAAAACCCCTCCCAGGATTGGTGCCGGAGACACCTTCCTCCAGCTAGCTCCTTGCCGCAGGCGTTCCTGTGCGCCCCGAAATTCTCGCAGAAGGAGCCTCCTGTCCCCCATGAGGGGGTACCCTGGTGCTGAGGCCAGAGAAGGGGGTCTGAAAGAGGGGACCGGGAACCCCCACATTCCTTCTGCCGCATCACCGAGGGATCCCACATCCCTGCAGCTCCCGGGGCCGTAGAGGCCAGGCTGGCGTGTCCTCAGCATCCCTGCCCGCGCTGCGTGCCACCACGCGTGGCGGAGCGTGACTCGGAGCACGAGCTCGGCCCCGGCCCCTCGAAGGGGGGAGCTGGCAGCGAGCCTCCAGCCCTGGAAATTTCCAGGGGGAGCCAGAAATCGGGGTGACTCCAGCTGTGGTCACGCTGGTACGCGCGGGAGTAGCCGGGGGCAAACGGGACATCCCGGAGCATCCCCATGGATCCCGCGCTGCGTGCTTTGTGCGGGAGGCGTGGAGACAGCGCGACTCCGGGAAAGCGCGGACATGCAGTACAGGCGGAGGATGGCTGCGACATGCCAGTAGCCCTCAGCCCGCCTGGCACCGGGGACAGGAGCCGCATCGCCGTCCTGGGTGGTCTCGCTCGGACCCGAGCGGGGAGGCGGAGGAACTGGGGAGCTGGAGGCGGTGACCCCCGTCCACGAGGCTGGGGGGCTGCGTGGGGTGCGGGCACACCCTGTCAGCAGCCCTGGCGGCGCACGGAGCCTCCCTGTTCCCGTGTCCTCCTGGGGGGCTGTCACCCCCCGCCTGCACACGGCAGCGAGCCGTGCATTGCAGCAGAAGGGAGCCGGGCCGGGGGCAGCGTGCGGGGGCCCGCGGGGGGACGGGGCCGCCCCGGTGCCGCAGGCGATGGCTGGCCGGGCCGTGCCGGGCCGTGCCGGGCGCAGGTGGCCGGGCGGTGTCGGCGCCGCGCAGGCGGGAGCGGCGCTCGGAGCAGACGTGTTTGCTCTGACAGCTGCGGCGTCTCGCCGCAGCGAAAGGAGCAGCGCCGGGGCTGCGAGCCACTGGGGAGGTTTGGGAGCTGGGGGTTTCCCAAGGGAAGGATGCTCTGCAGCAGAGCCCTGCCACACCGTCCTCGCTGCTGCTGCTGTCCTGGGGATAAAGTGAAGCAGGGAAGGGTTTTGGCTCTCCACAGGGGAGATGATGCCCTTTGGGAGATGCAGGATGCTGGTATCCCAAAAAGAAACAGAGAAGGGGATTGAGAGAATGAAGGTGCCCTGCATCTGGGGAGGTGGCATGTGTGGGATGAAGTGGCAAAGTCAGGCCAGGCAACTCATCCCTTGCAGAGAAACTCTGTGGGATGCAGGATGGAGAAGGACTTTGGACAAGGGCATGGAGTGACAGGACAAGGAGGAAAGTCTTCAAAAGTGAGAGAGGGCAGGGTTAGTTTGGATACTGGGAGGAGGTTCATCCCCTGTGAGAGTGGTGAGGCCCTGGCACAGGTTGTCCAGAGAAGCTGTGGCTGCCCCATCCATGCAAGTGTCCAAGACCCAGTTGAACAGGGCTTGGAACAACCTGGGAAGGTGTCCCTGCCCATGGCAGGGGGTTGGAATGAGGTGGTCTTTAAAATCTGTTCTAACCCAAACCATTCCATGATTCTATGATCGTATGCTCCAAGAGGGGTACAAAATTTTAGAGGCAAAAATCATGTGGGATCTGTACCCACAGTCCCACTCTGAGGGGACAGGACAAGGAGGAAAGTCTTCAAAAGTGAGAGAGGGCAGGGTTAGTTTGGATACTGGGAGGAGGTTCATCCCCTGTGAGAGTGGTGAGGCCCTGGCACAGGTTGTCCAGAGAAGCTGTGGCTGCCCCATCCATAGAAGTGTCCAAGGCCCAATTGAACAGGGCTTGGAACAAACTGGGAAGGTGTCCCTGCCCATGGCAGGGGGTTGGAATGAGGTGGTCTTTAAAATCTGTTCTAACCCAAACCATTCCATGATTCTATGATCGTATGCTCCAAGAGGGGTACAAAATTTTAGAGGCAAAAATTATGTGGGATCTGTACCCACAGTCCCACTCTGAGGGTGATGGCAGCAGTAGGCAGGGATGAGCAGGACCAGCCCCATTTTGGGGTCCCTGGCAGATCAGGAAGGTGCTGGAGACATGGACGGAGCAGACAGCAGCAGGGGAGGTACAGATGAGTCACAGACCTGCAGGATGGGGAGCCAGGGCTCTGCGTGGCTGCTGCAGTGACAAGATACAAAAAAAAGCCTTGTCACAACGGGTGCTGTGTGTAGCTACCCACCTACAACGTGGGGAGCTGTACAAAGCGTGGCTCTGTGCTGACTCCCCATGGAGATCCTGCTGTGCCACGCCAGCATGCTGCTGGCACAGCCCATGGTGCACAGGCAGGGGAGAGAACAGCAGGGTGGCTGCAGGGAAGCTGGAGGGGACTGTGGCACGGCCACAGGCAGGAGTCTGAGGAGGGGCATTCCTGATAGGTCTGTAGGTAGCATCAGTGAGCAGAGCTCACTGTGACTTGGGGAGCGGTGCCCGGTGGGCTTTGCCCCATGGCTTGTTATCCCATGCTGCAGCCAAGGGGAGCGTGTGCTCAGGCTCCTGGCACAGGGAGCTGGCAGCAGGCTTGGCAGCATCCTGGCAGGTTCTCCTGCCAAGTGCCGCACGGAAACAGGCACGATCCTGGATGATGCTCCGGGGGGTTGTTAGCGGTTCAGAGGCAGTTCCCTGTGGTCTGGAGAGCTGCCGGAGACCATCAGTGCCCAAGTCCTTGCTGAGCCCTCTTCACTTCCCAGCTAGTGTGAGAGCACACAGGGGTCTGCTGCTGGGGGTTCAGTGTGGGAGGCTATGTGGGCTCTGCACCCTGTGGTGATGTGTCAGGATTGTGCCACCATCCTGCAGGTACGACGCAGGGAAAGATGGCTTCATTGACCTGATGGAGCTGAAGCTGATGATGGAGAAGCTGGGGGCTCCACAGACACACCTGGGACTGAAGAACATGATTAAGGAGGTGGATGAAGACCTGGACAGCAAACTCAGTTTTCGAGAGGTGAGGGGATAGGAGGCTCCACGCTGGCAGGGAGATGTCCCCAGCCACTGTTCAAGCTGGTGAGAAGGTGGGCAGTGGCTGTGGTGGCTTTGAGGTCTCCAGGGAGCCAATGCTACCATCTCCCCTTGCAGTTCCTGCTGATTTTCCGGAAGGCAGCAGCGGGTGAGCTGCAGGAGGACAGTGGGCTGCACGCCCTGGCCCGGCTCTCTGAAATCGATGTCTCCACCGAGGGGGTGAAAGGCGCCAAGAACTTCTTTGAGGCCAAGGTGAGGCAGGGCTCAGGAGGCCCCACTGCAAGATGGCAATGCAGCAGGGCAGTTTGGTGCCGGGTAGGCAGGAGGTGGAGATGTTGGGGTGAGCAGGAGAACTTGGCAGAGCTCACAACTGAACATTTCTATCCACAGGCACAAGCCATCAACGAAGCCAGCAGGTTTGAGGAGGAGATCAAAGCAGAGCAGGAGGAGAAGAAGAAGCAGGCAGAGGAGCTGAAGCAGAGGAAGGCAGCCTTCAAGGAGCTGCAGTCCACCTTCACACAATGACAGGGCCAGGCAGGACTGGTCAGCGGTGCCCAGACTGGCAGCGCTGCCTGTGCCACGTGGCAGCTGTGCCGGGAGCGATGCCCGAGCCGTGTGCCACCTGGGCTGCTGGCAGGATCCCGGCGCGGGCTCGGCACAGCGCCCACCTTGTTGGCAGAGCCCAGTCAGCCCTGGCTCCCCCTCCCCTCTTGCTGTGGTGTCTGTAGGTGTTGTTCGTACCCCCACCTCCCCAGCGTGTCCCTCACCCTGAACAGCACCCTGTTCTCTGCCTGCAGCTGCACTGGGGGTTGCTGCTGCTGAGTCCCAGGGGAGCTATGTCCAGAATGTCTGTCCCTGGGACACCTGTGCCCAGACTGTTTTATGTTGTGAGTGCATTGGGAGGTTTGCAGGATGGGGGCTTGCGCAAGTGGCCATGGTGGGTGTTTTGGTGGCCATGCTGGCTCAGCATCTGTTGGTATTGCTATGTCTGACACCAGTGACAAAAGCCATGGCAAGGGCCAAGTGCTGGTAGAGGGGCTCTGCGTGTTTGTGTGTGTGTGTGTGGTGCTGGGGGTGCGTGCCCACCCAGCTAAAATGGAGCCCCTCAGGAGCTGTGTCTCTCTTTATTTTGATCAAAGATGTACAGAAAGGCAGCTGCTGGCTCATGGGGCTGTATTATGGTTTTTTTATGTTGTATTCAGCCTGGCAGGATGAGCATGGTGGCCGTAAGTGGCTGGCATTGGTCACTGAGGCTCTCGTGTTTGTGGGTGGCTGTAAAAACCAACATCTGTCCCACAGTGTCCCCCAAGTGGCGGTATAGGGGGTGTGTTATGTTTTTTTTAATTTAATCCCAAATAAATATTATATTTCTTAAGTGCTGGTTGCTGGGGTGCAGCTGCGGGATGGGCACTTCTGTGGCAGGGGCTTGGGTGGGGGGAAGGAACTTGGGGAGTGGGGTGTGCCCGTGGGAACACAGCTCCCACTGGAGATGGTGGCACTGAACAGGGATGAGCCGTGGCTCATTGGTCCACCTGTATGGCACAATGGTTTGGGAAGCTGCAGGGACCTTCAGGTGTGAGGATGTGTACCGAAGGCCATCGACAGCACTGCTGATGCCTGTGCCTGTCCCAGCATGTGGCACCTGTGGGGTTTTGGCTGGTCTTGACCATATCAAGAGTGAGATAAGGAGACCTTGTGCCTCAGGGGAGGTGGGGTGAGGGGGCAGTGTCCTCGTGAAGTCAGTTCTTGAGGCTGGGGGGCAGCAGGGCTGACCAGCACCTCACTGACAGTGTCATGGGTAGGGGGCTGCCCCAGGAGGGACCCTGTGCCCCAGGAGGCAAGGCAGGACGTGTCAAAGGCTGATGAGCCCGGTTCTCTAGCTGTGGCTGTGGAGAAGATTATCGTCCATGAGAAGTGGAACTCCTACTACGTCATGTAGGGAATGGGGTGCATCAGGGCCGGTTTGTGGTTTGTGTGGCCATGGATCCTGTTCTCATGGCCAGGCACCACGTCTCGTGTCTCCTTGCAGCAACGACATTGCCCTGGTCAAGCTGGCAGAGGAGGTGCAGGAGACTGACACCATCCGTGCTGCCTGCCTGCCAGCTGCTGGCAAGGTCCTGCCCAACGACTACCCCTGCTATGTCACCGGCTGGGGAAGCATGAGGAGTAAGTGGGGTGTCCCCAGGGGGGTCTCTAGGAAGGGGATGCGGGCACAGGGTGTGAGGTACGAGCTTTGGCTCTCATTGCAGCCAACGGGCCCCTGGCTGACATTCTGCAGCAGGCTCTGCTGCCCGTGGTGGATTATGAGACCTGCTCCAGTTGGGACTGGTGGGGCAGCAACGTGCGCAGCACCATGGTGTGTGCCGGCGGCGATGGCGTCGTCGCTGGATGTGGCGTGAGTGTGGGCACTGCACGTGGTGGATGCCCAAATGCTGGAGAACCCTGGGCACTGGGAGGAGAGGGGATGGAGCCATGGTGGTGGAGCCAGGAGGGATGAAGGGAGCGTTGGCAGGGTGCCCAGCAGCAATGGCCCACACTGTCTCTCCCCACAGGGCGATTCTGGAGGCCCCCTGAACTGCCAGCGCGACGATGGGATCTGGGAGGTCGAGGGAATCGCCAGCTTCGTCTCCAGCCGGGGCTGCAACATGAAAAGGAAGCCAACAGTCTTCACCCGGGTGTCTGCCTACATTGACTGGATCAACGAGGTGGGTGCCCCTTCCTCTGCCCCCACACAGGGACTGTTCTTGCCCCACTCAGGGTCTTACCATGACCCCCCTGTGTCTTTTTGGCAGAAAATGAGCACAAACTGAGGACGCGGCATTGTGGAGATACCACTGTTGACCAAGATAAAAGCAAAAATGCTGAGCTGGTCTTGCTGGTTTTTTGGGAGAGGGGATGTGGTGGAGCTGGGGACACACATCCAGGGCTGGGTCTGATGATGCCAAGGTCCTGCTTCTGTGCTGGGGAAGATGCCCTTGATGTGCAGGGCGGCTGGGCAGGACTCTGGGGAGGCTGTCGGGCACACCCTGCAAGATGCTTCCAGTCCTCAAGCCATGGCTGAGGCAAAGGGCTTGTGCTTTGGCAATTAGTTTGATGGCAGAGGGGCTGGGGTTGGTCCAGGTCCTTCAGGGGATCTCCAGGGAACCCAGCTGGCCCTTGGGGAAGATCTGGAACTCTTGGCAGCTCCCAGGGGGAGCTTTAGGGGACCTCACTGGCACTGCTTAGATGAAACTCTATAGAATGTGTCCATTATTAAGTATTTAACAATTTGGGAGAAAAAGGAAAAGTTTAAAAGAATACAATAAAATTTCATGAAGTTTATAACTTTTACTTCACTTTTGAAATATAAGTACTCATACAATCACTTATATAAATATTTGTCATGGTTTGACACTGGCACAATTCTAGTGCCCTATGAAAATATATTCTTCCCAGTGGCTGCTGTGAGATGTGACCAGAAATAGAGCAAAGCAGACTCCCACTTAGGAATACAGGAAAAAAAACTTTATTAACTACAATATATAAAAAGGAACAGGCACAGAACTCAGAATACAACCTTTCTAAACCATTCCTCCTCCTCCTTCCCCCGGTTTGCACCACAACAAGAAATAAGACCTTAGCTTTTCAATCCTGTCACCACCCCTCAGATAATCAACTTTCAGTTCATTAAGGAGAAAGGAGCCCCTCTTGTGCCATAGGCTTCCCCCGGAAACACAGTTGAAACTTCTTTTGTTTCCATGTCACTCGTTTCACGCCCGGAGAGCATCTGTCCTCCTGACTTCTTCCTTGCATGTCCTGTGCTCTCACCACTGTGCATGGACCAGAGCTGCTTCTAGGGTTCCCTTTTTAAGGATGCTTTGCCCAGCTCCAAAACAGCAACAGTCTCTCAATTCTGGGACACCAGTGCCCCCCAGATTCACCCCCTGGGGCTGAGGGGTCTTAAGAACAGAGACCTTCCTCTTCACTGAAGACAGAGAGCATCACCACAGCCCTGGAGGACACAGGGAAGTTTTCCAGGAAGAAGGCAGCGCGTTGGTGGGAGCAGCTGTGAAGGAGCTGTCCAGGAAGAGGGGGTGGGTACAGCACCGTGAGCCCCTGAGCAGAGCCATCCATCACACCATCATCCCTCGTGGCTGCTGGAGCCCAGCCAGGATCCTCACGACGTGGGGAGGAGGAGCACGCTGGGGGCCGTGATGGACTGTGCCTGCTTTAGGAGCCACAGTGCCACTGCACCATTGAGCAGCACCATCACCAGCACAGAGAGCAACACTGGCACCTGCACCGGGGCCCAAGAGCACTGGCACGAGCCCTGGCACCGTGTGAGCCCCTTGGGGACTCTCCAGGGACCCCCTGGCAACTGTCAGCCTGACCAAAGCTTCAGCAGGTGAAGGGGGATGCAGGGTGGGAAATGGTTTGGATGGACAGGAAAGGTGCTATGGCAAAGGAACTGTAGGGATCACCCCAAAGGCAATTGAAGGCCTGCCACTCAGCTGATGTGTGGAGGTGGCTACTCTGCACAGCAGCATGGGGCCAGGTGCTTGGGACACTGGCGTGGAATTGGCAGCAGGATCTGCTGGCTCGGATGGAGAGCTCCAGGCTGCCCATGGACACCTGGGCAATGTGGGGTGCCCCTGTCCCCTCTGCATGTACCCACAAGTGCCATGGGGACAGTTGTTTGGGCTGGGAGTGCAGGACCCTGGTGTCACAGCCTGTTGTGCGTGTACTTGTGCATTGTGTGCCATCCTCAGAGGGGCTTTGCTGGACGGAGGAGCCCTGGACAAGGCCCCAGAGAAGTGCCACAAGCCTCTCTGCTGGGGCATCAGCCCTGCCCCAGCCAGGCACGGGCACCCCCCACAGTGTGTGTCACCCCAATAACCAGTGTCCCCCTGCCCAGGAGGTGGTGAAGGGTTGTGATCCCTCTGGGACTCTGTCCTTGGCCACAGCTCCAGCCGTTCCCTCGGCACCTGTCCCTGGTCACAGAGAGCAGAGAGCAGAGCTGCCCCTCGGGTGGAGCTGCAGCCTCCAGTGAGGTCTGGCCTCAGCTTCCTCCAGCTGAACAAACTCAGTGACTTCAGCCTCAACTGCTTTTAATCTCTATGGCTGCATAGAGGTTAACAAATATTTGTACTTCCATGTCAATTGTCAATTATTGTTATATTCTGTTCTTACAGTTTATAACAGACACAGTAAATCTACAAGTTAACCTAAAGAAGTGTAAGCTATATTTTTATTAAATGTATAACATCTTATATACACCCTATAGGATGTGTCCATTATTAAGTATTTAACAATATGGGAGAATAAGGGGAAGTTTAAAAGAATACAATAGAACTTCATGAAGTTCATTGCTTTTTCTTCACTGTTGAAATATAAATACTTATACAATCACTTACATAAAGATTACATGTTAAACATGATCTTTACTCACTCCTGGGAATGAGAGCTCGGGACACCCAGGGACACATGAACAAACTCCCCTGACACTGTGCAGCATCCTGATGCTGATGGCACAGAGCTTAGGGAACCACTGCCCTAGCACATGGTGCCAGGCCACATCCAGGGCTCCCCTCAGGGGCATTGTCTTAGGTTGGAAATGTGGGTGTGTGTTCTACTCCTATCTGTGGAACAGTTCTTTGCTGTTCATTGGGAAGTCTCTTCCATAACCAATCCTCCCTGCAAGAGATAGCTTCTGTTCACGGGCCATTGAGTCTCACCACATGATTTCTAAAATTGCATCATCCCACTGTAACAAGCTCTGCCCAGAGGAGGAGCCAAGCATTCCTATCTGGATAGAGTCTGAGATCTGGAAGACCACTGCAGCAGCATTTTCCCACTGGATTCCCAGAGGATCAGCTTTCTTCTCCACTGCATTCCCAGAGCAAGACCAGGCCCATCTACAACACCACCAGACCTACAGAGGAAAACTCCACCCTTCTCCAGGATCCCTGCTCCACCAGAACCACACCTGTCACTCCAGGAGGGTTGAGCTACCATTTAATGGGACTGCTGCCACCACCCTGACCCACAGGTGGTCAGGTCCTATTCTGACTCTGTCCATAGTTTTTTTGTTTGTGCTATTACATTTGGTTTGTTTTGGTTTTTTATTAGTTTTCCTAGTAAAGAACTGTTATTCCTATTCTCATATTCTTGCCTGAGAGCCTTTTAATTTCAAAATTATAACAATTTGGAGGTTGGGATTTTACATTTTCCATTTCAGGGGAGGCTCCTACCTTTCTTAAGCAGACACTTCTCTTTGAAACTAAGGCAGATTTTTGGTGCCCATTGTGGGGCTAGAGGGCATGGAGAGAAAAAGAGTGAAATAAGGGAGTAACAGTTCTTTAGTAATCTAATTTTTGTTTGCTGATACAGAAACCTCGTTAAGTGTCGCCTTGTGGTCTAGCTTACAGTGGTTTGGGTGGTACATGCTTGTGGCTGTATTTCTTCCATTTGCAGGCCCTTATCTAAACATGGGTCCTACAACTAAGGCTGCTGTAGCTGTTATCCAGTTTGCTTTATGGGTTAATAAGGTGAGGAATTCATGTATTTTTAATTTCCTCTGGAAAGCAGGCACATGGATTCACAGCTATCACATACTAACTGTATGGGTTTGGGGTTACTTTAATAATGGTACCTGGTACTTTAATAATGGTGTGAGGAAATCACACCAGGGGAAATTTTCTCCCAACCCTTCAACCATCTCTTTGGGTCTGCCCTATCAGTTTTCAAAGGGTTCAGGTCCACTCTAAATACTAATGATATCATACAATGTTTAGTGTTACTGATACGCCTCTTCTATTTAGCATTCAGAGATAAAGGAAGATTAACCTAGATAACCACCTTGACAACTACACCAGAGCTTAGGGATGCTGCTGCCTCAAAGCCTGAGCGTGCCCCACAGCCCACCTCGGATATGAACCACCCAAACTGGGTGGGGGTTCTGGTGAAGGAGATATGTGAGATGGGCCAGATGCTGAAGGAATACATCTTCCCAGGTGGTGAGAAACCCTCCCCCTGCCTCAAAGAGAGAGTCTAATAGTGCACCCACAGATGTTACAACTGTCCAGGTTCCAGCTGAACTGCAAGGGCAGTCACAGCCAGCAGCAGCCGCCCCTGTGGAAACGAGGTCTAAGATGCAATCAGAGCACCCAGATTGGGGTAAGAATGGAGGGCCCTCACAATCCACAGAGGAGCCAATGGTTGAGATCATCACTGAGTCCCTGACGTATGAAAGTCTCCATAATCTACACAAAGACATTGTACGACGAGGACATGAGGCTTATACAACCTGGCTACTCCAGGTTTGGGATCTTATGGGTACAGGCAGCCAACTGGATGTGGTGAGGCAAGGAATTTGGGACTCTTGACCAAGAACTCAGGTATGAATCAGATTTTTGTAAGGGAGCCAGGGTCCTTTTCCCTCTGGGAGCGGCTTTTAATGAGTGTCAGAGATAAGTTAGTCCACAGGGAGAGAATGCAGGAGCACCACCATAGAATGCACTGGAAGACCCTTGAGGAAGGGATCCAACAGCTGAAAGAAGTGGCAGTATTGGAGGTACTCTTTGGGCAGGATGGACAGCATGATAATGACCCCGACAAGGTCAAGTGCACAGGGCAAATGTTGTGGAATCTGGCAGATCTGGGGCCATCTCAATACACCACCTTCATTGCAACGATTAATGCCGACACCAACCGAGAGACTGGGCTCTGCCACCAACACACTTAGAAATTATGAGAGTGTGATCAATGGCCCCATGCAGGCTCATGTCTCTGCTGGTATTAGAGAGTTCACAGAGGAGATGAGGGAGATGAGAGAGGAGGTGAGTAAGATCAACGCAGCACCCATGCAAGTCACAGGTCCTGAAGTC